CTTGAATGCCGAAAACTGGTGCTCGTAGGTAACAAGCGACGATCATGCCAAAGAGCAAGCAGTCTGTCTCCATTGTCTGATTGACTGTCACAGGGGCCAAAACTACCCCCAAGTGGCACTAGCTTGATGAAAAGCGACCCACTTGTGCGTTAAAGTCACCGGAAAGAACGACTATATCAGTCCTTTTAGAGGAACGCAGACGTTCATCTAGCTGCTGGTAAAATCTATCCTTGACTGCACTCGAGCTGCAGTCTGTAGAGGCGTAGGCGGAGACGACAAACATGGCATGCTTAACGTCTCGACGCCTGCATACATTATATGAATCTCTTAATCGGAACGCGCATAGCCCTGTTGACTGGGATCCCGTCAAGCAGAGTTGTTTCAGCCGTGACAGTCAGGGCAACCCCAACACCAGCTTGGTCAGTGGCGGTAGCTTCTGGGTCTCCGGAATGCCGCAAGTGGTATTCGGCGTCGGGGTTTACCGGAGAGGTCGTTCTGATGACGGCGCTGGTCCTGTAATCTGGTTTCTGAAAGACAACAGATGTTTACCGAAAGGGATTTAAGAGTAAGGGCCAGACAAATTTGTCGACGGATCTGCATCAAAGTTCGAACATTAAACGCTGTGACGATATATGGAGAACCAGGTCAAAGAAAAGCTGGCGCTTCGGTGCAGTTAGAAACGGCTATAACCGCTGGACGTTGAAAACCGGAAGTTTGTCTGTTACTTCCATCAGTTGCGAAAGTGGATCGTTTGTCACTGTGACCGAAGAAAACATAGGAGTACCTACAGATGAAGCACGGGAGGTGAAGTAATCTGTGAGTGGAGGTTGATCAGTTACGTTAGCAGGGATGATCGGCGTAGCACGAGCAGTAGTAAGCAGTGTGATCCATAGTTCTTCAGTTAGGGTGTTACTACTCGGTTGCCCAGACCAAATTAGAGGGTTGTCTAAGGGGCCCTACCCTGAACATTTGACGAAAGATTGAACCTACCAGGCAGCAGGGCGATGTCATGGCGTGGCAACCTTTTGGAAGCCCGTAACCAACTAGATGGTCCATACGCGTTTCGGTCCGTGAAGGACCGGAAACCCAATGCACCCTTGAAGTACAATGCCTCTCAGGGACGGGCAAGGGACAGTGATTTTATTTAGTGGCGAGTCATATCCGTCACGTCACAATATTGTTAAACAGACAGTTGTGGCTTTTTATAGAAAGAACGCTTGACAGGCGAAAAGCCACCACGTCGTGAAACACAGCTGCCCAGCTTTTTGTGGGAACTGAAAATATCTGAACCACCCAGGTGGCAACAGGGGGAGGTTGTTCTGCAAGTCGATTTGAGAGAGCCACGCATTTGCCCTTAAATCCTTTGATACGACCGACCGCGCTACCTGTTAGGGAAGTGATATGTGTGTTGCTTGACAGGTTCCGCGCTGAGTTAAAGCAAATTAGTGAGACAGGGTTTGATTACCGAAGTCGATGAGCCAACCTAATGTGTTTGTCAGCCTACAAATAATACGAAGAGGACGGGTGAACTGCGTAATGAATTGACCCGAAACCTTTAAACGAGGCGCTGTGTAGAGAGAATTATGCGCCATGGATATTAGAAAACATCTTGCAGCGCCTGGCCAAAGCTAAATATTTCATGAAGGTAGACCTGTCTTCCACATCTCGGAACGTCGTACTAGATGAAGCATCCATTTTCCTTACCACCCTTGCAACACCGATTGGGCCTTGTGGTTGGCAACGTTTTTAATTAAGTTTAAAGGGTTTGCGTCAGATTTTTGAAAAGCCATTGGTGCTAGCTGTAGAGAATTTAGCTGGTGTAATCTGTGGTAGACGATATTTTGATTTACGGCTCCACGGAAGAAGAACATGACGCTTATTTCCACCGTTGCTTGCAGCGTTGTGTGCAAAAGCACATAAGGTTTAAGCGAGAGAAATTTGAACTTGGGAGAGATGAGACGATTTCCATGGATGTTTGTTAACAACCACAGGGGTCTGGGTTGATCCAGGAAAGTTTAAAATAATACAAGTGTTGTCACCCACTAACGACTTGAAGGGCATCCACCGTCAAATAGCACGATGAAATTTTTGAGTCGTTTTATACCTGAACTGGCTGATATCATGAAGTCAATCAAGAAATTAACTCACAAAGGAGTTAGGGGGGTTGGGAAATTTAACAGGAAACTGCACTCACAACTATTAAGTGCTTTATCAGCAGCGCATCTGTACTCGGGTACTACCATGGAGCGTAGCATCTGGAGGTACATTTTAGCAGTAGCTAAGACTGAATAGGTGCTGTTTTCTTGCAGAATGGAAAATCTTTGGATTTCCGCAGTCGAGCAAACATCGTGACAGAGCGGCGTTATGCGCAGATTGAGAAGGAGGCATTCGCGATAGTCTAAGACATGGAGCGTTTCAACCATCATACTTTCGGAAGAAAGACATTTGTGCATACTGAGTACAAACGGCTTGCGTCGATAGCCAGTAAATCACTGCACATTGTTTCTCGTCCTCTTTGGTGTATGCTTTTCCGGCTTCAAAGTACGGTGTGGATATTGTGAACACCCATGGTGCAAGGATGTCCATCGCGGATACGCTGTCAAGTGTTCATCTACCGGCATCTGAGCAGAATCCAGAAGAGGACGATGCAGTAATCCTAGTACAGCATTAGGTAATGGTGGAAGATCGTCTGAATGAAGCAAGGCGCCAAACACATGCAGATTCGACGTTTTCAACTTTGCGAGAGTTTACTATGAATGGTTGGAGGGAAAAGCACAAACACCTTTCGAAGGAATTAACATTCTATTTCTATTTTCGGTATGAACTCTCCGTCCATGACGGTTTGCTGCTCAAGCTAAGCAGTATTCTTATTCCATCATCGCTCCGAGGAGAAATCTTGAAAAACTTCATTGCGCTCCTTTAGGTACCAATTACCTCATTAACCGAGCACGAGAATTGATCTTTTGGCCAGGAATGACGGGTCAAATCGGAGATCATGTGTCGTATTGTGAGGCTTGTCCTTCACACGAAATCTGGCAGACGAAGAAACCAAAGCTGCTGCATAATGTCCCTGGACGAATGGGGCAGAGGTTGGCGCAGGATTTATCCTGTGCCAAGGGAAAAGATTCAATTGTTCATTGGTTCTTCGGGCTTGGCGGGTTTTGTCACAAACGTTACACTACTATACGAGGTGACATCCTCAATGCAGTGAGATGCGGCGTGTAAGATTACACATCGCATCTCACTTCACTGAGGATGTCATTAAGCATGGTGGTGTAACGTTTGCGACAAAACCAGCAAGCTGACAGAACACGTGAACAATTGTATCATCAACCCGAGCTGCCAGTATTCCGAAACATTTTAAGGTAAGAGATTGCTTACTCACCGTGCATTACTATAGTGGTTATTTTGCATTGATTTACTCACTACTACAACCATGGGGACAGTAAGCAACAAGCTCGAATGTCAGTTCGCGCGACACGGAGTACCGGGGGAATCGGTGTCTGACAATAGTCCTCAGTTTAACAACACTACGTTCCAGGCCTTCACAACTGAGGGAGGAATCATGCACAAGCAATGCATCCCAAATCATAACCAATCGAATGAAAAGCAGGAGTCGGCAGTGAGGCAGGCCATACGACAGGTATTAAAGGTCAAAGCTACTGGCGAATACACCTACCTTATGCTACTAGAGATTCGCAGCACACCTTCAAAGAATATCATATTGAACCCAGTGTAGCGCTTATACCTTAGTGGAACTAGAACGCTGATGCCGGCGTCTGCCACATTTTGGAGCCCAGTTTCACTACCGTATGAACGATTACAAAATAAATTTAGACGACGAACATCCACCTAAAAACAACACTGCGACTGCGGTCGTCGGATACTGTTTCAGCTGACAACGGGGGAGGAAGTGTGGATTCAACTAGCACCAAAGGGTCAATTGCGGTGGAAGAAAGGTGTGGTGACCCCGAGGGTGGTTAGGAGGTCATAAAAATAAGTTTCGGAGGGAAAGGTTCTGTGTGCATTTGAGACGACAACCGAGGCAACAATGTGGATTGGGAGTGGAGCGCCATATAGTGTGGTGCAAGGAGAACGCGGCCGCAGGTACAGCGAAGACGTTGCGGTGGGGCCAGCTGTACGGGTGCATAACAATATGGAGGCGCAAGGAAACGACAAGAAGGAGGACGTGATGGGAGTGTCAGATCAAGATGGGTGGGTGGACCAACCGAACGAGACAGACAGCCAATGGGAGACGGGGGTAACGGATTCGGTTACTGGACTTGGATTTGCCTATATTCGTGTGCGTTTCCCTGTTTGTTTAGCTGAAGCGAAAGAGGAACTTCATCGACTCAGTAGGGTCGTTAGTTTTGGACTAGAACGTGCAACTCATATCTAGGCGGTCGGATTGCCAAACATGCTGCAATATTCGCCGACATAACTTTACTGAGTAAGTGATTGTCCCTGATGGACTGTGCTCTGGAACAACCAGCATCGATGAGAGCGGTTGCTATTGGTCTGATTATATAAACAAGTGGTGGATAACTAAAAGTATATAATAACTAATTACATTTGATCAGGCACGGCCGCGGCTAGACTACAGTGACACGGTAGACTGCTGCCCCTACTCTTCCGGGTCTTGATGGCTGTATGGCTGAAAATAGATTTAAAAATCCCATCTGAATCGTTTGAACTTCCATGCTGCCGCATTATAATCAACTGGTTCCGGGCACTGTGGCGCGTTTCCGCACAACACTGGTGTGCGGGTTAGTTCAAAGCAAACCGCGTCTTATCATCTATCAGCACTAGTGTAGGCAATAAACTGTGACCTCACACACAAATCATTCAAGCTTTCATCGGAGAATCGCTGGTATAATATTGAACAGCGCTTGGATTTTGCTAAGGTGGACTCTGTCCATCAGATAAAGGCCGATTTCAGTCATATTGCTCAAAGGAATGAAACGACCTGACGGTATTATTATTAGTCACAAACTGCACACTCACCGCATTTGTTTCTCAAGATCGAGCGTGCTGGATGTTGGATGGGTTTGTATTAGCGCCGAACTCGGCTGGAATCGGGTTTTCTTCAGGTGTCCTTCAGACTGCTGAGTAATGGTGGAGTACAATTATTTAAATTGTCAAGAGACCTCAGTCGGCAGAATCGGAAAGAACAGAGCTTGAAGGTTTACATGGAAGAAGAGTTACAGTGATGAAGCTGGACGAAACAGTCTATGTTCTGTCAACACTGCGGAGCAGTTTTAGACATCTGAATTTTATGCGCAGTCCTTCTAGGTGTTGAATGATTCACTTATTCTTGTGGACCAGACAACACGGACCATATATTTAAAGTTTTGCACAGTAATACAACTTCGGGTTCAGCTGTAGGAAGGACCATACCCAAAAAATTTGGACACCATGAGCATAACTGAAATGAATTCTCTGTCACTATTCAGGTTTTGTTGTTCTCCGAGCTGAATATTTTCGTTGCAAACGTTTCATCAACAATCGTGATGACTTCTTCAGTGCGGAATTAGCAAACTAAGTTGTTTGGACGACTCTTACCAATATATCTCCCTCACTGATTCGGGAGCCTCATAACGCTTCCATCACTCAAAAATGCTCGCGATTCACGGTTGCAGTTACCAGCAGTATCAGGAACGTCACATCATGGTAACTCAGAGGGAAACAATTAGCACTGGAGTCTATATAGATCAGAGGTGTCCAAAGTCCGGCCGGCGAGCCAAATGCGGCGCGCGTTAACAGCTCAACTGGCAAGCAAGCTCATCGTGAAATGGCACATTTAAGCTTGGACTTTTTCTATACATGTTTACATATGTTATTCTTTTAACGTCCGACTTATTATGGCCCGACATATTTCTGCCTCACAAATTGTGGTCCTCCTTTCAAACTGTTTGGACACCCCTGATCTAGATCAAATGAAGCCAAGTGTCTGGAATATCCGGAGGCAGTCAGCATCCCGGAAGTGTGTGGTCGAACGTTGTGACCACGCACCGAAAGCAAGCAAAAGACGTACTCCGAGCTAAGTGCGCGACAGACTACAAGTGAACATGCAAAAATTGGAATTATTCACACTGAACTATAAAAATTATGGTTATAATATCTAACTGAATATTTGTCTTATCGCTTGCCTCGAGAACATACAACCACTGTGAACTTCGACTTCGTACTTAATCAACCAGCTTTTCAACTATCCACCATGGTTGTAAGTTTGGTATTCATCTTATTGCTGGGTTAGTCTCTCCGCTTTGGTGCTCAACTCCCTCGTTCCCTCAGATTCCACATTACTTAAGTGTTCTGAGGCACAATGTTCACTAATTAATTGGCTATGGGGACCCGTTCAACCACGTCCATGTTAAAACCTCAACACAGACTGCTACGGCATTATGTAAACTAACTAATCATCTTTGAAGATCTACAATGATCAGAGTGGTAAGGAATTTGGTTTCAATATGGCGATCTGCGTCAAATCGGACGCCCGAAAATACCATGCAGTATCGCTCGTCAGATGCTAACCACTGCATCCTGGTTATCAATATCTGTGTATGTTTGCTGTATTTAGCTTGAGAATGAAACACCATATACAATGTTAAATTGCAACAACCTACTCAGTCGTTTATGCTTTAAAGACGTGCTAATATTACTGGGACGTCACCCATTCCCCATTGTACCTTGCGTTACTGTGACTGTTTCATTCCTAGAATTATACATCCGATTGACCTATGGCCTTATAAATAGTTCGGGCAGAGCACTGATTAAAAGGGGTGGTAGTCAACTACAAGTCAAGGGAGACTGAGCTACGCTACATCACTTCTAGGGTCTTAGGTACGTCAGTCGTGAGTACGTTCTGCTAGCTAGGGTGGGAATTTCTGGCTTAGACACAATTTGGTCACGGTCTCAACATTTTCAATAGGCCGGGGAAGTGAACGATCTTCATGACTCCCGGAAGAACCAGACAGCTTCCAGTGCCAGTCCAGATATTGATGGCCGTCCAAATGAGTGTATTCCTGATGCATACGAAGCATATCATATGAATATACCCGCTACTCTGTTATGAGGAATGTTAACATTTTCGGCACATCATCTTCCAATGATAAACGCAGAATCCGTCCACTAACTGAATACGCCCAAATATCACAGACAGAATCTAAATATGCAAGGTTAACTAGGGGCTCTTTTGTTCTGAGCGGTAAAAACCTGTCATGTATATGTACGTCCCAAAAGCTGTAAGGGATTAGAACACAAATCGGACGGTGATGTCCCCAAGTTATTTACTTGCAATGCCCACAAGTGTGTTTTGAACAAACTAGTTGTTGCTCCTCTTTATAGATCTATCTTCCTCTTGATAATACCCTGGGATATTTCCGACCTAATTATTACATAAGCAACTAACTGCTTTTTGCCACATAGTTTTAGTTCGCATCCACTTGCGACAATCGTAATAAGGGTAAGGCGTCTTGCTAGATATGCGCTGTCGGAAAAACTTTGCTGAAAGTTGCAGATTTGTGCGAAGTGAATCAAAAAAACACTAATGCAGCTTATATTTTTATGCCCCATAAAGATCATCAGGGGAAACCTCTCGATTGCTCTGAGTCTAGTATGCATGTAGAAAATTAAACAGATCCTTAGTAGCAATTTTTCAGATTTCTGCGGTAACGTGATGCAGGAAGACCCAGATTATATTTAATGTTGCTGGCAGCTCTAGATTACCCTAGCTTCTATTTAACGGTTAACGAGACATAATATTCACTTTGACCGAAAAACATGAGTGCACTGTGCCATTTTACAGGAGTGAGTTAACTATATAAGCAGCAGTGAACAAATCGTATATATTTTTGCAAACTAACTCACCTTCTTCAAAGGGTCACTTGAATATTCTGCGCCCTCGTGGTAGACCCTGAACACTAGGTCACTTGATAAATCTTGCTCGTTTTGTACATTGTTCTTCATGATTGGCTTTATGGACGAAACCGAACTGGTTTTATTAATTGGATACCCCAAATGTATCACCAGTTGTTGTAACTCAGATAAAACTCCGCACTGAGTGTTGGTATCAGTAGTGCTGAATTCTTCCTTCTCAGCTTCCGTCTGTGATGTCGCCGTCACTGTGGGTACCGTAATCGTCATCGTTGCACAGTCCATCGTACGGACAGGGGATTTCTGTGAAAACACGGGGAGGGAACAAGCTGGAAAATCACAAATGATACGAGCAAGTTGCTAATGGTTAAATATGTCTAAATAAGAGCTGATCTTTATAAAATCTTACACCTTCCCTAGATATCTTCATACAATAGCTGAGAAATAGTTATATTTTTTATTTCACACTCCTTTCTAATTTATCAAGGTATTTATTTCGTTAATGAGTAGTTATTACAATAGCGTTGTCACGCCTGCTAAAATCTTTTCTATGTATGCAGCTAAAACGTTGCATAGCTGCGCAGATATGGCTATGCTTTAATCTACACTAGACTCCCATCCGTGTGTATGTTAAATTTTCTTACACTGAGGTCCAAAAGTTGCATAAAATTTGAACAAGTTAAAGGTAAGCCACAAGTGTGGGACCATTGAATTTAGCATGTCTCAAGCAGATACTAATGAAATTCATGTGCTCTAAAAAAATTTTTATTTGGCCTAATAGTTTTGCAATTGTTATGACAATACTAATGTATGGATGCGAAACGTCATTATGAAAAGATGCTCGTTACAGTTTTAACATGCTTTAAATGTGTGTCAGTCTCCCATAGCTAGCAAAAGCTAAGTATATAATTCCTGTAATATCCAAAAATATGACCCATAAAGTATGGCTAAGCTGGATTACACATTGGGACCAGCAACGTAAACATTCTCTCCATATTTCTTATCTTTGACAGCCGCTGTTTTCATTGTTTGTCGTCCACTTGATGAGACTTGGTTAACAGCTGAGTTTGTTCTTATTCTGTCCAACTCATTGAACCAGTCTGGTATGGCATGCAGCAAGCATACCCAGCCTCTCAAATATAGTTAGCCTACTCAACTTTCCAACATTGAAAACTACTGCAGCGTCATAAACTGCAAGTGTTAGTCTACGCATTCCAACAAAACCAATCTTTGGACATCTTTGACCAAATTAATTATGAAAACTCGTTTGTATTTTGTGTCCCGCCATGAACACCCTTTGACAGTAATGTCTCACGGGCGGGAGTTTCAAAGACGGGTTTTATGGTCAAAGAGATATAGGAATGGAAGACATTTTTATCAGGATCTGAAGCAGGCTGATTCCTGGCGGAGCATCAATCTCCACAGTTGATATAGCAACGGTCCCTGGGCTCCCAAATGTCCCAGATTTCTTTTCACATATGAGGAACATTGTTGGTGTTTATACGTATTGCCGCACCACAAAGTCCTGGAAACTTTAGCATTACATATTTTGTCAGTTACCCTCTCTCACCAATACCTCGTAGACGCTTGCTATTGTGCGTACAAGTTTTATTCTTCAACTTATTTACCTTATTAATAAAGTGTCGCCCCATTCTCTTCCGCACATGCCTACAACATTCCAGTTTTTCAAAAATCAATACCAGTATACACTGGTGGTACCGCATTTGCAACTGGTGTGAATGATTTACTGTCTTCATCTCCAAGAAAGGAAACATGGCGCAGACAATACAACTCTTTCCTCCGCCTAAACATTTCCAGTGCTCCAACTGGCTCCATCCTATCTTCGGATCAATTGTGATTCCGATCACAGTTATGAGTATGGGAAAGCACCCAAGTCTGGAACTGGGCGTCAGTTTTCATCTTAACTTTTGCACAAGGGTTTCAATACGTTCTCAGTACTGCAGTGTTCAGAACTTCTATGTCCATCCACAGTTAGAATAGCGACTGCATCATTTTTGCTTCAATACCCACCTCTTTGCCATGAGATTAATATGGCTTCTCCTTGCTTCATCTCAGATGCAACTCTCTGCGTACCTGTAGGTATGAATGTCTTTGTAGCCTGAAGGATTTTCTTTTTATGAAGTGGCCAACTGCTTCTATCCATACTTCTTGGCTTGTTCATATTGCCAGGAAATTTCTTGCAAAGGGAGCAGCTCGATATTCTATGAACACCATATGTTTTCCCCCATTTTTCAGAGGACATAAAAGAAACGGTATGTGGACAATGACAGTAGAAAGCTAACCTTGAGGTTAGTGAGTTTTCCTGTTTTGTGACCTAGGATTCGCTCTCGCCCAGAGGTTGTCTACACGGCCTGCACAATAAAGTGTTTACAAAGGTAATGAGAAGCTGAAGATATGAAATTCGAATTCATGTGAGCTCTTCAGTTTTCTCAAACTTAGCCTGCGAGGTTTGAGGTCCAAGTTTGATTCTAGAAGCAGACGTAGATGATTCGTTGTTCCATCAAAACCAAAAATTTCATCAGTCTCAGCTACTTGTTCTTGCATTTTAGAATACTGATTACCAAGAAGTATACCTCGGTTTGCCTTCCTTTTGCCCATAATTTGAAAATCCTTTGTCACAGTCATAAAACGTCTTTTTCCGAATAACAATAGACGATTGCGATGAAACGAGTACACTGATTGACCGAACAAAGCATGTCCTCCATAAATGAACTAATGAAATCTATTCTTTCCTATGTGTACAATGCGAACTGGGTTTATAAATGAATTATGGATCGATTTACAACTGGAATGAAGTCTCTAAGTCAATTCCGAGGCGAGATGCGACGTTACAAAGTTTTGCTTGCGTAGTGAGGTTGAGAAATTCAATGAATATATTACGCATGCTTTATTACCTGTAGAAATTAAACTTTAAAACACATGATTGTAAACCCTATTTGCGTAGCTGTTTTCTACTATGAATATTTGTGCATTATGTATGGAAACAAAAATGGTCAAAATTTCGATTTTCTTGTTAGTCCCTCACCTTAAGAGAAGATAAAATTTGGACGTTAACGGCTAGAAACAGCTAGCTGCTACGCGTTAGAACGATGAATTAGTGAATTGGGGTTCGAACAGTATTTAGTTCACGTTTAAGAATCGTAGTTAATGAGTAATCTGGAGATTCGTGTTTCTTGCTCAACACACGACACTCAGTACAACTTTATGCCTACATTAAAAACCATGTTGTAGTGGATCACTCGATTAAGATCAATGCTGTCCTCGGGTTGGGATCACGCCTTATTTTTGAGCCCTGTGAATATGGAAACATGTCAGCGGACGAACGAAAACTATCAGTCCAAAGTGTTGGTGTGTTTCTGATATCAAACTCTGTTAGGTCCTTCTACAACCTTATAAAACATTCATGTTTCTCTGAAGTCTACTCTCCATCTGACCTCATCGCTTGAACAACGGCACTGCGACCGCTCAACATGACACATGATCTATACAACGTTGATTGCACGCTAACATCGAAAAACAACATTTGAGCCCCATCCGAGAGCACGATGCACGCCTAACAATCTGACAGCCATGGGTGGTTGAGGAAATACTTTACCGATCACCCACTCACCAAACAGACGTACTTATGTAGCGTCAAGAATACTTAGTACTGAATACTGTATTGTAGAGCAGGCAGAAATGAAATCTGTAAAACTCTCCAAATATGGTGAAAAACGCTATAAAAACTGTTCGCCGTGAATATCGTTATCCTTCTCCTGTAACATTTAAAATATCTGACTCGCGGCATTGCAGGACTCAAAAATTTGACATGTCAT